GTCTTGTCTAAAGATATAGGTAATCTCCCCCCCCCCTCCCTCCCCCCCCCCCCTCCCTCCCTCCCCCCTCCCTCCCCCTCCCTCTCTTTGTTTTTATCTCTCTCTCTCTCTCTCTCTCTCTCTCTCTCTCTCTCTCACTTTATCTATCTATCTCTCTCTCTCTCTCTCTCTCTCTTTATCTCTCTCTCTCTCTCTCTCTCTCTCTCTCTCTCTCTCTCTCTTTCTTGTTTTTGCAGCTCCATCCCCATCCTTCTTTAGCTTATGTCTACTTGTCCAAACCAGACACTATAACAATAAGGATAACAACAAAATCCGATCACATCTTTACCAGGCCATCCCGTAATTTATTTACAAACTGTTGTTTGTGTTTTGTTAATTCTCATTTTTGACGGCTACTGACACTTGCATCGATCAAAAAATTTCACCCATATCTGATACATGCAGCAAGTACAAAACATATAATTTAAAGGATTCTTCCTTGTCTCAAAAAGCATGTTAAAAAAGAAACTCCTTAATTTTCTATGCTTTCTTGTTTGCTACTTTTTTCAGGTCGTATAATAGGTTAGGCTAATCGATAGCTATTTTGTTCTTCAATGAAAGTATAAAAACATTTATAAAGGGATTTTTTTCATCATTTTAATACTTCAAAACACTATAAGTAGATAATTATAAAGGTCAAAGCTATCAGGAGTTTCGACTTTCCTTTAGATTTGGACAGGGAGATGTTGAGCATTACTGTATACTGCGTGTGACATTAAAGGGGACAGTTGAGTTCTTGTTTCAGACCGCAAATGATTTTAAAGTGCATGGTTATTGCTCTTATTCTTATTTATGACATTTCTAGTCCTCTTTTATGACCTAAAATTGCTACGAAGGTAATTTTAGACCCCAAAATGTGTGAAATTTAGCCAATACGATCATACCAAATAAGCTCCACTTTCAAACAAAAAATGTGATCGTTAATTAATTAAATAATTGATAATAAGAATATACGGGTCGGTTGGTTGTGCGTATCAAATCAAAACGAAAATGCCAACATTACATCATTCGGGCCTCTCATGCAGAGGCGTACTATGTCGGTTTCACCCCCAATGAATGCGTGATCCGCCGGTAACTCTCCCTGCATTTGAAGCAAAATACAGTGCTGATAGGGGCTGATAGACATCCAAATGACCCACAGCTTCAAGTCATATCCGTGGAAATGTAACTTGAAATGAATTCGATATCACAGGACATTGACTTATCACGAATCTAGAACCTCTCAACATTAATCTGCCAACGAGGTATATAGCTAGTGCGAGGACGGGGGAAGCTGAAGAGAGGAAGAAAGGCAAAGAGAGAGAGAGAGAGAGAGAGAGAGAGAGAGAGAGAGAGAGAGAAAGTGGGAGGGGAAGGAAACTTGAAAAATAAATGGTACGACCCCACCCTAAATGGCCCTTTTCTCACTTTTTAATCCACCATATCGAACTGGTGCCCCTCCCCCGCTCCATGACACTACAGTGCCCCGTCTATGGTTAGACCTATGCTACGCCGCGCCGGTGCACCGAGCCATGTCAAAATGAAAAATATTGAATATGGTTCTAGCTTTCTCATGAATGTGTCACTTTAGTCCATTATCTTGAAGTGCTAATCAGGATTACAGTAAGGATGTTTTATTGCTTGTAACCTTAAAGACTTGCAAACAAACTCTCTCTTGTGCAAACGTGTCCGTCAGTCAAGTTCAAGAACCGACCAAACAAATCATTCTTTAATCCGTACCCTTGACCATTGTTTCGATGTTGACGATTGGTCGAACGACAATGACAAGTTGACAGCTTTCGTGGGAAACGTAGCAAATCATTTCCGTTTTACTACGATGGAATAAAACTGTTTGAGATCAAGAAATGAGCTTGAAACGTCTTGATATAAACCTGTTTGTCTTTCTTTTCAGTCGTAGCATGCGAATAAGTGCCCTTTCATTATTTTCTTTCTTTGTCTTTGTGTAATATTTCTTTGTGCTTTCCATGTGCTGCATTTCCTAGAATAATGCTATATATCAATTTTTGAAAGAATACGAGGTAGTATTTCATTAACAAAATCAAGAAGAATTGTTGGGGTTTAGTGAAACTGATGGGGATTTCACTGTGAACAAAATAAAATGTAGTTGAACCACAATTATGCAAATTGTGTTTATCACAAAACATCACCAAGTGAAATAGATTTATAATAGTGAGATTCAATGTCTAAAGAGATCACGGAAATGGAAGATACTCCCTGGCTGCCATAATAGGTTGTTGCCTTCACTTTTCATTCAGGCTATTTTGCGAGTGGTGGCGGGGTTGAAATACCACCGATAATCAAACATGTTGAGTTTAAAAGCGATACTTAGAAATTAAAAATGGCAAAACTGTAGGCATAATTATGAAGCAAATTCGAAATCGAACTTAATGGAAAAGGAGGCCGGAACAAAGAGTAGTTCAAATGATAGTCTACTGCTAATTGGGAAGCTGAGCTATAATTGCAGCATGGAGTAGGTGTTGAAAATCATTCATATCCTTGTAAGCTCAAATCACAATGACTATTCAATACGGGAGCACCAAATACAGAATGAACAAAAGTTAACCGCCCAAGTCGACCAGCTAAATCGCTCGTATTTATATTTACCCAAGCTTTTGCTGTGTGGTCTGCCTTTATTTCAGATTTATTTCAAACGGAGGAATTTGGCTTTCCATTCGTTTTTGAAAAGCGACCGGCGTCTACGATATTTTCTTATGATTATGTGATTCAAGACAAAAGAAATGAGAAAACTGCAGGCAAGTTTACAGGAGTAGATTCTCTCAGCAGCAAATAGAATTTACATAGAACGTTGTTTGCTTGTTAAAGAGTGGCTTCATTAACATTAGGAAAGGTGAAAGTATATGTTTAAAAGACCCTGGTCCCAGTCTTTCCAAGAAATTCTTCAAAAATAACATGTAGACTCATTGCTTCGGGCAAAATGACACCTACCTGTTCTCCCCTGTAAATAAACATGGATTCTTCGGTGAAAATGCACAACTATCGCGTATTATAAAGGTGGACCTTCTAGTCCTAGGGCTACCCCTCCCCATCCCAGAAATTTATACTCGAAATATTCAGTTTTCATTTCAGTTTATTGTTTCATATTTCAACAATTTCACATTCTACAATTCTGTTTCCACAAAACAATAGGTACTAACATACACAGGTCTTATTGTCTAGTACAAGAACAGAAGATACGTATAACTCATTTAAATTCGTTCGCATAAAGTAAAAGAAATAAAGAGAAACATGGAAGGAGCTATAGTGAAAGCTATGTTTGTGAGTTATCGGCCCCCTTAGTGTGATACAAATGTCCTTTAACAATACTTGTAGATGGAACGACCACTGCGTGATAACAGCGGATTGTGCAAGGTTCTACTAAAATTAATGTAAACTGCAGTAATATTCGGACAACCATTACCTAAAGAAATGTAGCCCCGATGCCGTCTCGTTGTAATGATTGATACTCTCAATTATAATAACATTCTAAGGATAAAAGTAAATTAAGAGGGTCATTCACCGTACTTGATTTTGATTAAACTGGTTTTTAGTTATCAGGTCAAGGTAGGTTAGTCGGAAATCGTTTTTTTTTTAATCTAAAGTTCACTGTCTTAGAAGTAATAAGAGGACCTTTAAACAATTTGGATCAAGAGTATTACCTTTAGAAAAAAAGGTAGATATTATGAAAAACATAAGAGAATAAAAATTGAAAGGAAGAAACAAAACCTTTAAACAAAATAAGACAAAGAAGAGGAAAAGAATGAATGAAAAGATAGTGATGATAACATTCATGGGTCCACTTTTCATTTTGACATTATCGGTTTTTTAAAGGAAATTCGTTTGTAATTGTATTTTCGTTTGTATTTTACATGGATTCTAAAAAATAAAGATACAATTATGACGTACTCTCATCCTGTCAAAACAACAGGAAAAACAACTCCCGATATTAAATTCGTATTTCTCAAAACCTCAATAAGGTAATTACGCTATACATGGAAAGTATATGTAAATATCCCGTGATCATACAGAGCATACAAGCATAAAGGAATTAACATCGTAACGGATCTTCGTTTAACGCCCGGTTTAAACGTTACTTCTTACCGATTTTAACATAAAATATAGTTATTTCTTCTTCTTTTTCTTTATCATCAGAGACGACTTCCTATACTTTAGGTAAAATGAAAATAAATACGGTAGAAAGTGAAGGTATATTTTATTAATCTGTTTCTAAAACAAAACTGGTTTTTCGTCTTTGACATTTCGCAGGCTAGAGACACCTCTCTGCTTAATCCGGAAGCTTAAACAAAGAGCCCTCATTGTCAATGGTGTAGTGTACGAGGCGGATTAATAAATCCAATTAGAAGGGTATCACCAGGCGTGGGAAAAGGAATGGGTCTGACTTGGCTAGTCTTATCATTTCATCATCAGACCGTTTTGAAAACAATCCATAATAGATTAGAGTCAATAAATTAGACAGATGATAAAATGGGTCTTGATTTGCTATAGATCGTTGGCATACGCCATGCATTGGGTATGATGTCTTTTAAGACATTCGAACAAAACACTATATATGCAATCATGCACAATTATTTCTTCTTCTCTGTCTTTCTCTCCCCCTCCCCCCGCGCCCCCCTCTCTCTCTCTCTCCTCTATCTCAGAGAGTTTCTGTCTCTATAGACACTCTCTAGACATTATTTGAAACTTCTATGATTGTACAATATGCGTTTGGACAATTGTCATGTTTGTGAATTTTGAGTATCATTTTTATATGAGAGTGATATTTTGTTGATCGACGGTATGATTGAAAAAGATCAACTTGGTCTGATTTCAAAGACTACCATATAGAAAAAGATTGTTCGCGCATGCGTCGCCCTGATCCTTTCTTTCGCATCTCGATTACGTAACACCTCGCTCTCCTGTAATTGGCTTAGAGTTGGTAAGAACGGTGAGAACAGACCTGGTATAAAGTAAGTTATAAGTCCGATGAAGAAGCTTATCTTGCTCAAGACCTCTGAACTGGAAACATTGCTGCACTGACTCTGCCTACATACCCAGCTTCACAAATCTCGCCTCATCGATTGCTTTACTCCTCATTTTTCATACCATTTGAAGGTGAGTGTCTCACGTTAAATTGTAATATTATCTGTCGTAATAATGATTTGACTCCATTTCCGTAGTAATCGTGGTGATTTGAGTGTTTGAAGCGAATGCTGGTCGTGTTGAATGGTAACTTACGTTTGTTTATTAAGTGAGGGATTCGTGTGAAGGATTTTTAAGTTAAAGATGCCAATATGCCAATTTTAGTTCAGCTCAACAGCCAGTATATCCAGTAGATATGCAAACGTATCTCATAAATTTCTTGAATATGTTTAATTAGGCATGTTAATTACTTAGACAACATCTATAGTATATACTTCTGGATATCTTGTCTTCTTGATTATAAACGATTCTGACCAGAAAGCCTATACGGCAAGGACCAGCATGATCAGGTTTCTATGTTTTGTTTTGTTATATGCGTGAGTTTTTAGTGTGGTGCGTAATATATGTAAATTCGTTTGTACATATTTTTGCGTGCAATTCGTTTGCCAAAAAACTATTATATTAGTGTTGGTTTTAATGAATGTGTGTACTATCGATACCTTTTTTCGATTGTTATTCGTGAATTAAAGATGAAATGAAGAAGGAAAACAATGATCCCGTTGTTAATTTCCAGAGATATGGAAGGTACATGTAAATTGATGACCCAAAATCGACTTGTCTTCTTTCATTTTTCATGAATAGTGTTCTGCACTTGAAGCCATGGAAGCGCAGACCGATGCGATCAGACCCACCGACGTTACGGCCGAGTCGCGACACTCATCCCCCGACATCGCTCCACCACGGAATGGAAAGAAACCATCGCGGGTCGATCTCCCGGGTTTTACCTACGCTGAGCTGATCACCATGGCGATTCAGTCGTCGCCTTCTCGTATGATGACCATCGTAGACATCCAACAGTTCTTTCGTGATCGCTTTCCTTGCTTCCGAACATCCTACAAAGGCTGGCATAACAGTATTCGACATAACCTCTCAGCTCGAGAGTGTTTTTACAAGGTATTTGTTTAAACCATTAATTACCAACCCCCTTACCTCCAAAAAGATTGATCAATCTTCAAGGTCATAGCATGTGAATTTACTGAGTTTTACATTTAACATCATAGTGACCAGAAATGTATTTTTAATTGTCATGGTCTTTGTGTTAATGATACACTACATTATTTGAAAATTAGTTTTAATTCTTGTTTAATGATTTGAAACATGTTTTTTATTAATTTTAGAAAGCGCTTGTGCAGTCTGACCGAATTATGTTACAAAAACGACTATATTTAGAAGAAAATTAATATTTAGAAAATATATATTGAGCATTTAGCCCACAAGTTTACCGGTAATTTGATAGAACGGAATGTGTATATCTCACTTTAAACCGTTTTTTAAATTATAATTCAAATTTTCCCTTTTTATGTTTATGAACGGAATTAAATCAAATGTTTTTCAAATAAATATTTATTCCTTCACTGTCATTTATTCTTTTCCAGTAGAATGTTCCAGGCTCATTTATTTTTAAAGAATTTATATAAAGGAATTAACTCAATCGCTATCGTACTATTTTCATTTGGATTTCCAACTTCTTTATTTGCTGAATTTGCCATTCCTTAATTATAATATCATGTTGAATAGAATACTAGCTTAGTCTATCCACGGTCTATAAACTTGAAATTTAATGGATTTTTAATTCTTCTAATTGAGGTCTAATGTAAATGTTGAAATAACAATGTTGATTTCACAATGTTTCTCCCCCTCTCTTATCTCTCTCTTTCTCTCTTTCTCTCTCTTTCTCTCCCTCCCCTCTCTCCCTCCCCTCTCCCCTTCCCCTCTCTCCCTCCCCCTCTCTCTTCTCTCCCTTTATCTCTGTCCCTCCCTCCCCCTCCATCTCTCCACTCTGTCCCTGTTATTCTGAAAGGTGCCCATCGTGGACAAGCGTCATAAATGTCGCACACACTACTGGATGATCAACCCAGCTGTTCTCACTGTCGCGATGGCAACGGTCTTATGCAGGAGGCACGACAATGGAGGACCAGGAGGATGATGGCGAAGAACGTGATCAGGAAGAAACGACGAGGATCGAAGAAGAACGGTTCGTCGACGACCAGGAACGCTGACGGATTGGACTCCAAGGTGACGGAGAAGAAGGTGAGTTAATCATGTTCTTACGTGCCGTTTATTGTTAAAGCTATATGACGCTCATCACTGCTATGTATGTGCTGTGTTGCTCATGAAATCGGAATAATTTTAATTCGATCTATTTTCATGGCGTAATTCTGTGACAACATAGTTTATTCTTTATCAAGTACCTTGTCAGAACTTTATTCATTAATCTCTATGGCTTTCGTATATATTAATAAATGAGAAGGTGTAAAGCTTATTTATCAAGAATATACTGTCGCAATCATTTCATGAAAATAGGTACGGAAAATGATTCCAACTTCGTCGGCAACGTACTAGTATATCAACACTCCTCCCAATTGTGTTTTCTTTTGAGTTGTTTGAGTCACAAAAGTATTCTCAATATAGTGTAGCTTTTGTTACTTGCTCGTTCATGGTTTTTTTACCGTTATACTCTACAGACTGAATTAATCATTGCGTGCCGTGAGTCTGTTGTATAAAATCAAAAGATTTGTAACAATTAACCTCCGTCGAAACATTGATGGATATCCGCGAATCAAAATGGACAATGACTTGTTTGTTTTTATGTAGTCCAAGGCAGGGGCGGATCCAGCGGGCGGCAGGGGAGGGGAACCAATTCGTGAGAAAATATTTAGCGCCGAAACAGCCGACCGATAATTCGCTCAGTGGGGGGGGGGGGGGGGGGGGGGGGGTTAGTGAGCACTAATTTTTTCTTTTTTAGGCCCTCGAAAATTTGAAAAATCGTACCCCCTTGAGCGCCAGGGGAGGGGGCCCGTCTCCAAAAAAGGGTAAAATTAACGTGTTTTTGGATGTTGTATAAATGTGTTATGATTTACTCTCTTACCATCAGGGTCCTTTGAAAGACGCTCAGCTCACGTGTCAACCTTTCCCAGCGAGAACTCCCCCCATGCACCCGATGGAGTATACCAAGCTTAGCTCACCAGACCAGTTCACCCACGGCCCGCAAACACCATCCTATCAAGGGTCTGACTGGGCTTACCCAACGACCTACCACACTCGCCATCAACCTGCTTGCCGTGAATGCGGTGACGACATGACCGGTGACTGCGAATACTGCGTGTTACTCGAAGTCGACAACGAACCACCGTCACCGATGCGTTATTCGTCGTCATTGACGTCGTCGTCACCGCCGGACTGCCTTTCGACAAGGAGTGAGAGCGTCGGGACTACGTCGCAGACACTATCTCACTTCAAACCTTATGTTAAGGAAGAACCAAGAATCCAGCAATTGGCTCTAAAAGACGATTCGGGTAAATTAAATTTGATTAAAACATATAGTTTAATTGTCCTGTCACTTACACTTTATTTTTTGTTTTTTATAGGAAAAAGTAATAGAAAGTTTGCCTGAATAAAAGTATGCAAAAAAAGGTATTGGCTCAAGTTCTGCGGTAAAGGAAATAACGTCAAGTCTTAAAAGCGTTAAGCTGTTTACTTATCTTTGTGCTCCAGTTTTTTAAATATGTATATTTGTTAATCGGGCATAATGTACTGGTATTTTATTTTAGAACTTTGATACATAAAGTAGATAAATACAATAAAATGACTAGTATCTATACTTTACAAAGGAACAATATTATATGTGAAGTAATTGGTTGCATGTATAAACTCACTCTAGGACTCACGGAAAAGGCACAATTCCAAAAATCAGTGACAAGCAAAAAGGAGTACCCCTCTTCTTCTCCAACTTAATTTCGTACAATATACTTTTAGGGGGCACGTTCCCCCTGTGCCACCCATGGCCTTGATCAGCCGCTGAATCGTGATTTAAAAAAAATAACGTTGTCACATCCACTAATGATTAAATACCGACTATTACAAAAGTATATATTCTGGGTTAATCGTTGTACTTTATAACAAATTTCGTTTTGTTTTTTACGCAGTGCTAGACGATATCGTCGACAAACAAGACCTGTTCCAAACGGACGACAACTTCGACGCGTCCGTATACAACGTCGGAGGTCATATTGAAGCTCACCAGCATTCTGGTACTGTCGTCCCGATATCATTGTCGAAATCATTGCCACCGTCGTTGCCTTCATCACCGGCACCATCATCGCCCATGCAGTACGCCGTTGACCTTTCACGCCAGGTAAATAAACTGAGATAAGAAGTCCCAGATTTGTAATACGTCAGTCACACCATAGACCTTGGTGGTAGGTCTATGGTCACACCAAAGAGACCGACACCAGACACCAACATTTGGAACTCAATTCCCATGAATATAAAAAATTGTAAAAATCTTCAAACTTTAAACGAACATATAAAATGTATTTAATTGAATTTTACGTGAAATAACTCTCCAAGACCTATAACCCCCCCCCCCCCCGCCCCTTCTTTTTTATTTTCATGCTTCCAATGGTACCACATTTAATTTCGTATATTATTAATATTATACATGAAGGATGGACTCCTGCATAAGGACTTGACTCCTTTTTAGCTCATCCCTTCACTCTCATTATGTTATGTTTTTTGTTTGGATGTATGATATTTTTGTATATTTATTCTGTATTTGTAATTGTGACTATTCTGTATTTTTAATGACGAGTGTAAATAAATAAACTTGAACTTAAACTTGATCGACAACACACCGAAAAAAGCACATTAACCTCGAATATACAATTATAATGAAGCTAATCGAGCAAATCGATGATAGATTATACCATATTTACCCTCACATTTACCCCGGCGTAATGTTTGTGTTTTAATACCTGTTAATGATAATAATAACATTTACTCTTTAAATATTCCATGTACAATGCCGTATGCATATATATTTCATTTTCTCTTTTTCTTCTACATGTAATTATCCTTTCTTCTTCTAGAGTTCTTCCCGTGCTAGCGGTTATGCCGTCTCGCCAACCTTGCCAGACTGCCCCAGATACCAGGCTCATCCTAACTTGCCATGCACCAGTCTACCTCCGTTTAATTACTACAAGGGTTTGCAACCATACTTCTTCTTCCAAGATCAAGCCTATCACTTTGATCAGTGCGATCGACTCGTCATTGACCCCCGTTGCCATGTTGCCGACACCACCAAAGGTTTCTATCGCTACCCATCAGAGGATTTCGTCAGCAATTGTCATCGCAGCAGCGAGGTGGCAGGAGCTGTTGACCTGAGCGTACATCATCAAAGTGAATTCATTGGTCGGACTGATGATGAGAGACGTAAGTGATTCTCTTCCTCTCCTCATCTCCTTCCTCCTCCTCCTCCTTCAGCTCCTCCTCCCCCTCCTCCTCCTCTACCTCCTCCTCCTATCATCATCCACTCTTGTCCCTCCACTCTCGTCCTATGTCTCCTCCTCCAACTCTTATTCACTCTTTATGTCTGTTCCTGTATCTTCCCCTTCTCTCTTCTCGCTCCCATTCTTGTTCTCCATTTTCTCTTTCTCTCCCGATCTTTTATCTCCCCTTTTCTATTCAATCTACCAGCTCTCTCGACTTTCTTGTGTCCCACTTAATCCCTTGGAATGCTTAACCATTTGATGTCGTAAGGTCAAACTGTTTTTGAAAATGGGTTTTGATTTACCTTGTAGAGAACGGGTAACATAAAGAAGAAAATATTTCTCTAATAATAACATTATTTTTGCATCATGCGCAGGGATGCTCAGACTAAATATAACTTTTGAAAGTCTATATATGCGTCATTTACAAAAGATGTGGCATAATCATTTTGTGATGATGCAAAACTAAAATATTTTTGTAATGTTGGCCTGTTTAGAAAAGTCAAATCAAGCTTTTATTATTAGTTAATCTTGGTTTTAAGATGTAATAACGGCAATTTCATGGCTTTCCTGTTTACATGCCACAGGTAGCATCCCTCACAGATCTCACTGTGATAACAACTGTAACGATTCTCTTCTTCTGATCGAATCCATGCCTTACAGAACCAACCCCAGAGTACCAACCAACAGCCCTATGCACCGATTCACACGGCCAGTGGACTCCTCCCCCATCCCCTTTCACCACGGTATCCCCTCCAGACACACATCCGACAACGCGGTTCCCCGACAGCCGGCACGCCTCTTGGGCCAATCTCGCTTCATCCCGAGATCTAATGTGAACGTCCTGTTGGACTTTGGCGGAGAGGGCGCCTCTCCGGCTTTCGTCGCAGCTCCTAATGACATCAGGACGATCTCAAGTCTCGGTGAGCTTCTCAAGGTCAGCATGGTCATCGCATCCCAACACGAATACCACAGTATGTGATCAAGACGTTGAAGATGATATTCAGGTTCATTATGATCTCCACGAACTAAAGTCGTATTGTCTAATCATTGTTCAATGGCCAAGAAGTGACAACCATTCAAAATGTTGCATCTCATCATTAATACTGCTGGATCCAACAGACAAACATCACTGTGGTTGCATCCAGCAGTTTAAAGAATTAGATCCTTCATTTTGAAAAGGTGTATCTCTTGGTTTAATTGAATGCTGACTTAACATTTTTCTTTTTAAGAGTGCGCATTGAATATTTGTATGGACATAATTATGCCTATCGTTTGTGCACCGAGGCGTTACCGAGGCGAAATAGCCATTCTGTAATACTTAGTGTGATACCTCGACGACACAGCCATTCTTGCTATTGTTCTTATCTTGCATGCATGCTGTAGTTTAGTTTGTCAAGAAAATATACCATCAACAAGCAGACTATAATCGTCTTTTCACTACAACAAGCTTTATTGAAACAATTGCCAAAAACAATTGATAGTCGTACGAAAGAAAAGCATGAACAAATTATGTCGTTTTTGTTTCACTTGATTTAGGCAGTAAATTTGTTGATTAATAAAGACATTTTAAGATTAAAAATTGACGAAAAGGTCACGGTAGGCCTTTAATAATATGTGATTTTATTAGCCTGAAGTTACTTTGCAAGCGTATCGATAAAGGAATGAGCTATCGATCGAACTGCCCCCACTGTCGAATGCCTTACATGCTTAGTTTCAAGACACCGGAGAGAAAGAAAGTATGCTTGGCTCACAAATTGAGATGATCTATGATTTGATGTAGCCTCATTCACAAAGCACACTATATATTTTAACATTTTGCATATTATTCAACATGTCAACAATATATTTTGAGAAATTTTAGAGGGATATTCCAAGGGGGAACTACAACTTCTCGTCAGCAACAAGATTGTGACAGTTGCACGACCTTGTTTTCAATGAATTATCTTTTGGTAAAATTACTTAGACTTCGTGTTAAAAGGCTACGAATGATAAAACAGAAGAGAAACATTGCTTTAAATGTAACTGCGTTTTCCTGTGTTTACGGGCAGAGTAGAATATGATTTTATCGCACTTATGTAGAATACTTTTACATGTACTTACATATCAAATTTATGATGTTATTGGTGGAGGGGTTAATATAAAATGCCATTTTGGTGACATTTGATTTATGTAATTAGTATAAGAAATTGTGATAACTCTGCACAAATATGAAGTTACTATCCGTATGAAGGACTTTGGGCGGGCAAGATTTTTATGGATATTTGATTGATTTCTCTTTATCATCTTTATACCATCGACTATGACTTCATTCAGAATACCTCAAGTTAAAGACATATTCTTTGTGTTTGTAATACAAAGATACATTTAAGCTTAATTGTAGTAATTATGTTTTGTATATATATATATATAAATTGCATGCACCCTTTTTCAGATGTGTAAAGAGTACTGTATTAACCGTGTGTTCCGCTAAGTTCACATTAAATACATTTTAAAAGATAACTTTCAATATGCACTCACTGTGTTTTTCTTGCAAGAGAATGATCATTTAGTTTTAAAGGTAAGAAAGTATTCGGAGAAGGGATTTAGGCAGCGAACATTTGGGCTGGGGATTTGTATACGTGGATGGAGCGAAAATTTGGAAAGCTAAGTATTAAAGAGAGACTGAATAGAGAAGTGAACAGCGTTAGGAAAGGGAGAAAGGAGAGACATAGAGAAAGAGACCGGGAGACAGAGAAAGAGACAGTGAAATAGAGAGAAAGAGAAAGATAGGTAGAGAGGGAAAGTGAGGTCGAGACAGAGAGAAACAGATAGATATATATATCAGGCGCGTACGCAGGGGGGGGGGGGTTAACCCCCCCCTTTGGTTTTTTGTTATGTGTGTATTTTGGCCAACGGAACGAAAGGTCGATCCGGCAAATTTTCAAATTTTTCAACAACATTTTTTTCTCTTACTCCCCCCCCCCCCCCCCCGCTTATTCAGCGGCTGGCTGAGTCGTTGCGAATTTTTTGGGACAAAAAAAATGCCTCTACCCCCCCCCCCCCCCCCCTAGAGAGACACAGAGGTAAACTCTACTTGTATGATGCGCATATTGTATATATTTTTCTATTCCTCTATTAGTTCATTAATTTATTTGATTATCCCGTTTATAGGTGCACTGCTGTTAATGTGCCCATTACAAGTCCATATTATTATCATTGTCAACTTCATCATCGCCATTATTACATTATTATCAAAATTATTTGAATTTGAATTATTATAATTATTATCTTTATTTAGATGTTGAATTACCCTTTGCGACCGACCCGAAATCTTTTTAATCTACGGTCGGCTTAAAAAAAAAAATGTTTAAATAATTTTTTTTTTAATGTATTAAAGCCCGTCTACACTAGTTTATCCAGGAGGGATTAGACCTCCCTGCAATGTCACTAACAGGTGATTATCTCATCAAATCAGCTCTTCAAATCAGCTCTCAATTAACATAAGAAAAAGGGGATCATGGGGGACCAACGCTTACCGATTAGACATTGTTTGCTATAGAGAGGGCGCAAGTAGCTATAAGTAGTGCAGTGGGGATTTAAAGCATTCACAACTGAGAAATATCAGCCCAAATGGGGAGAGAAAAAAAGGATTTCCGACCGATCGACCCATTTTTGCCACCTTAAGGGCAATACAACATTTTATTTTTTGTTAAGCATGAGATATGATTATATGAAATACAAGTCTAATAGATAATCAACATATACAAATTTAAAAAATGTTTAACAGTAAAAAAAAAAAAAATTAAAATAACAATAATAATCCATGGAGAATATTCATCGTGTTAAATATTGATATCAAATACATGTGTAAGAATTATAATCAAGATATGATTATATAAAAACTATTTATAAACAATGTGTTTATTCGCAGCCCATGTTTACTGGACACTTGGAGCAATTGGAGTCAACCTGGTCGCACTTTATTTCAAGCTGGGTGCCATCTGTGAAGAAAACATGTCAGTGATTCAAATGACTGATCTGTTTGATAACCCGAAGAATTGTATACCTTTTTTAATAGAATTATGTATATTCTAGTATGGACAAGTCAGATAATTGGAGAATGGTTGTGTATACGAGGCATTGCATCGTTTGATCGCGTTATTGCTTGCCCCTAATCAAGAAATCCAGTTATTATTAGTGGGAGCACTGCATTGAATTATTTGTTAACGATGTATCCCTCACACGGCGTGTCATAGACTGCGCCAATCGTTGACGCATGCAGTTCTACGCCATGCTATAATAACAGCGAGTTTTCGCAACCGGCAACGCGGCCTTCTACAACGCTAATCTTAATGGGGAGTCACACTCAAAGCGAAAATTTCCGCGTAGCGTCCAAACCTACGACGGTATTCAGATGTCTTAGCGTCGGGAGTCGAGCTAGTACGGGGTGGCGCGCGACCTTATTTAAATACCTCGTAGTCAGCACTTGCGTCGCCGTACGAAAAGTCCCTAATTCGCACGGTGACGCAAGTTCTGACTACGGGGTATGTAAATTAGCTCGCCACTCCGTACTAGCTCGACACCCGACGCTAATCAGGCTGAATACCGTCGTAGGTTTGGACGCTACGCGGAAATTTTCGCTATGAGTGCAACCCCCCGCTAAGATTAGCGTTGTAGAAGGCCTCGTCGCCGGTTGCGAAAACTGCCTCATGTCTCTCTTACAACGGGCATTAGATTCATATATTATTCTTTACATGATAACAGCTTCCATTACATTATTTTACAACCACCGTCGTCTATTGTTATTAGATTTCATGATTCGGCAGACCTCCGCCTGCTTTTCGGCCTCTACCCTTGTAATGGCTTCTTGATAGCGTCGATCCTTCTCTTGCTTCCGCCTTTCTCTCTCCAGCTTCTCAGCCCGTTCCCGTTCCCGCTCAATCGCTCCTTCAACTCTCTTATCATCTGATTCTCTCTCTCAATGCGCTCCTTCTCTGCCGTTTGTCGACATCCTTCTACTGTTCGTACCTCTTGCTTTCGTCTCACCTCTTCCAGCCTACTCTTAATCTCCTTCTTGCGCTGTTGCTCCTTGCGCTGGTAATGCTTTGAGATGAGAGTCGAATCTCCTTCCGCCATGCACTGCTCCAGGAGAGAGAGCAGACTGTGCTGGTAGGGCTCCTCCAAAACAAAATTCTCTGTGGTCAGGTTTGCCACTTCGAAAATGCTGCTTACTCCAGAGACCCGTAGGACAGTCTTGAGATCCTCCACGTGGTTCTTCTCTGCGGTATCAACATGAGTTATGATAGCTACCGGGTAGCGTCCTAGTTTGCCAAAGAGAAAGGACATCGGAGAGAATACAAGAGAGTGGATCAATACACCAGAGAATACATATTAAAATTCGAACACGTCCTAGGTAATGTCACAAACTTAACTAAATGGATTAAATATGGTCTCATGAAAAATGATACTTCGATCTGGTTTTGTTTGGAATACCCTGATCCCCTGCTTATACTCCGTTTGTATTGGAACTTGATCGGTATGCAAAAGAAGTATTCAGTCATTTTGCAACAAAAGGCTATTTCATCGATCATTGTTACGGTGGTTGGGGATCAGGAATTAGTGACTCATCCAGATTTTGCAAGTTGTAACATTTTTGTCACGGGTGTGCAATTGAGTGAGGGAGCGTACATCGGCTTCACGGAATACGCTTGTAGGGTGTTTAATAACCAAATTATTTATTTAAATTCTTCTCTACAATGGTCAACACAATCATAAAGACATTCAAGAAATTAAATCAAGGGCGAATTAATTTACCTATTGCTTTACAGACAGGGATCATAGTAGGATTATGTCATGCCGTTGTAATGTTTGCACATTTGAATAGGTAGCACACAAAACTAATGAAATTGCTGTAGTTTGATTTATAAAAAGAAAGTCTCGGCCGTACACTAAGATAATAGTGAATAATAATGGTGGCTTCTTATTAAACGCACCAGGTCCATCAGGCATGACGCCCATGGCGCTATTCATGCAAATGCAAATACGAATACAAAAGAAGGTACAATATATCTATACAACATTAACATATTGAATCTAAAGCATTTAAAATACAAAATAATGAATATAACTATAATAGTTTAAGGAACAAGAAAAACAATTAGCCTTCAATACAGAACAAATTTCAAATAAAATGATTGAAATCAGTTTGATTTACTTAGGTAACCTAAGGAAAAATCTAGTAGGAATTACAACATGATTAACTTCAGACTGACTTTAAAGATAAACTTGAGTTTTGGTTAAAAAAAAGAAAATGAATTCTCACAGAATATAACGAAACTTACACTGAATGTTCAAGATTACAGATAAATGTCACGTGCCAAACAATTTTGGAAGAAAATGTATACTGGCTGAGTAATGAGCATAGAAAGATAAGGAAATCAGGGTAGTACTAGCCCCGACACCATGTGTGTTGTCCCATATACATTTTTCTGTGTAAGTGATTGTTACTTTACCAAGACTCTGCCAAATTTATGATGATTTTGATGACTCCAGAACCTTGCATTACACACCATTACTTACATGCTATATGATCAACTTTTCTGATCCATTCCACACCTTTTCTTTCACAATGCAATCGCATTACCAGAACTCAAGTTTATCTTTAAGTTTAACAAACAGGGTGAGAAGCGACTTTCAGTTCAATGAAACAGAATTACAAAGTGAACAGATATGTCTTGAGTAATTGTTTGAAAGAACTAGCGGAGAAAGCTTGGCAAAGAAGAAGAGGAAGATTGTTCCAGAGAGATGGACCTGCGTGGGAAAATCTGTGGTCCCCCCCCCCCAAGAGTGGGATCGGGAAACTTGAAGAAGCAAAGAGTTAGGTGATTATATAGTCTGCGAGAGGGTTGATATGCCTGGATCGCTCTGACTTCTGATGATTGAGTTTCAGACCAGGCGCGTCCATCCATCTGTTGATGTCCTTGATGCACGTTTCCATTAGCTTTGCAGCCGATGACATTGCAGTACAGCTAGGTTGGGGGATACGACACAAACAGCTGTATGTCATCTGCGTAACAGCGGTATCTGATGTTGTGTGCCTTGATGATGCTACCTACCGGCTGGAGAAGGCCTCCTACCGATCATTGGGGGACACCGTAGGAAAGATGACTTGCTTGAGACATGGCATCACTGATTCTAAAACTGCAGCGGTTTGACGAGTCACTGCATGGTGATGGTCTGATGTCTGGTAAACAGGCACGGATAGCTTCTATCTTATCAACAACAATAAAATGCTGATCGAAGCAAGAAGCTAGGTCCTTAGTAGAAACGTGACTTGACATGGGTGATTTCTGCTTTCTGTTCATAAGATCGCTTGCAACTTTAAAGAGTCCCTTTGAGTCACCAGAACAGTCTTTGATTCGTTGTACGTTGTACTCGAATTAAAGACTGGACTCACAGGCACTCCTGGCGATACAGGAGTAAGTGGCGCTTCTCCAAGCTTGAAATACACTGCCTGATTAGGAGCTTTTCTTCTGCAATGTTCTGCGTGTATCACTGAGTGTTTGGACGAACAGTCACTGAACGTTCTCGGACAGAAGGATGCAAATTTAGGGTAGCCATCAGAGTTGAGTTGTAGTTGCTGACAGCAAGTTCTGCGTTGCTCATTGTGCCCTTCTCCATCAATGAAGCTTCACCCAAATCCTTAAAAAAGCGGCTTGGCTGTATTGAGTAGGTGTAATTACGTGACACAACAGTTATTCGTGAAGTTTGCGGGCTTACTATGGGCATGTTACAGGCAATGACTGAGTGGTCCGAAATACCATCGATGGCGTTGATGCCGGACAGCACTGTGGTGTCAGTCTCTTTCCGGGAGATTAGCAGGTCCGGTATGACCGCGTATTGTGACAAATGGACCTACTACGAATAGTAGGTCCATGATATGACAGACTGTTGGGTGTGTTGCTCAAGGCCATTTCCATTATAGGAAGATCAATGAGCTCTCTGGCATATGATAAAGACGTATACACGAATGTTGAAATCTCTAGAGATGATTAAGCTGGCCTGTTTGAAGAGGTAATCGTCCAATACATTTGAGAACTCGTACGTTCCTTTTTTCTCTCCGTATTTCGTAAAATTCACTCACAAACACACCCACACACACAAAATGACAGTTTGGACATGGCCTTGAATAAAACTTGGGCAAATGAGTGGATAATGGAATGAAGAATAAGTACAAATATGGAGGATAAAATCTTACCCTGATGGCCATGTAGGAAATCAATGACCTCAGCTAGTCCATTAGTATTACTATCCAAGTCATGCCGGGCGCTGTGAAAGGTATCAAGAGAGAAAGATTACGATATCTTATTGCTAAGAAGAAGGAAGTTGGTAAAGGGGAAGGATAAAGGAGAAGGACGAATGACGTTTTTTCGAAATTAATTTTGCATTAAGGAGTTGGAAGAGATAGACTTGGTAGCGAAGCGCGGAAGCTTTGACGTTTCTTTAAATTATTAGAGAAAGAAAAATGTACCGTTCTCGACTCTATTAACTCTTGTCTGAATTCCGTCCCCCCCCCCGCGCAAAGCGCAGAAGCTTTGACATTTCATTAAATTATCAGAGAAAGCAGACGATTCGTTAAATGTAAAGTTCTCGACTCTTAATCATTGTATGAATTCAGTCCCCCCCCCTTCCCGCACGAAGCGCGGAAGCTTTGACGTTTCATTATAATATTAGAGAAAGAAGCCCGTTCACGACTCTTAAAGATAAAGGTGAGTTCTGGTCATCCGATTGTATTGTGAAAGAAAAGGTGTGGAATGGATCAGAAAAAGTTGATCATGTAGCATGTAAGTATCGGTGTGTACTGCAAATGTCTGAAGTCATCAAAATCATAATAAATTTGGCCAAATCTTGGTACAGTATTCATGGGTGTCGATCTGTCATTGATACCTATTGTTCAGGGGGGGGATGATCTATTCATTCATCCCCCCTGAACAATAGATATTACGTAAGGATCGACACCCATGACAGTAACAATTTGTAGTATTGTTATTATTTTTTGTATTTATTTATTTATTTATTTTTATTATTTTATTTATTTATTTATGTATTTTTTATTTTTATTTATTTATTTATTTATTTATTTATTTATTTATTTATTTTATTTTTTTTTTTTTGGGGGGGGGGCGACTGCCCCCAACGCTGCCCCCCTGGCTACGCGCCTGAACGGGTTAACCCCTTTTGACATGCACGTACTATATGCTTACCTGAAAACAAAGGCAGCACAGCCAATTGGATGTCCCAAATTGAAATCGAGGTCGCTCAGATCCAGGTCTTCATCCTTGAGATCATCGCTGGCTCTCTGCCACTCTATACACTCGGAATAACCACGTTTTCCATCTGAGTAGAGTAAGCACACGATTGACATAAATAAATGACATTCAAATCACTGACCTGTGGCCTCAATATATTTGTATGGGGGGGGGGGGGGTTCGGACCACGTGTAAGTCAACAAGTTAGCCTTCAGTTTCAGTTTTTCAGTTGAGTTTCTTTTATTTCACATGAAAAACAATAAATTAACAAAACATAGCAACAACAAAAAAATGATAAGCATAAATCTTTAACTTTTAAAAGAATGTCTTTCAAAATTAAAGGGTCAGTATGTGAGCAATAGATAGTGTTATGTATCACTCCGAGTACATGTTTTTGTACAAGAAGTATTATATTGATATAATTATGTGGTACTTTAATTCAGGCGCGTACACAGGGGGGGGGGGTTGGGGGGGTTAACCCTCCCCCCTTTGGTAATTGTCTGTGTGTAAACCCCCCCCCCTTTTGGATTTTTTTTTTTTTAATTAAAAAAAAAAAAAAAAGTGACCTCTTACCCCCCCCCCCCCCCCCCCCGCTTATCCCCCCCCCCCCCCCCGCTTATTCAGCGGTAGTATATTGTCAATGTATATTCAAAGAAATTTTGTAGATTTTAAAGGGCTGCAGGAGAGGAGACGGAGAACAGAGTGGCATTAATAAGGAGGGAGTGTGAGGGGAGGGGAGGGAAGGGGCAAAGAGGAGGAAGTAGTCAATGATCCGAAGGCACAAAATAGGGGCCCCTCTTCGAAGAAAAAAATTAGGAAAGATTCGATGCACATTATATAAACATGCGGTTTGATCACAATGAAATGTAGCGAATTAAGAAGTTGTTTGCCCACACTAACAAAACGGACACCACTGAACGACCAAGAATCACATATGGCTCCGAATAGTCTCATTGGACAACGCCCCCTATCGTCAGAGCCCAGCAGCCTAACATGTTAGCCTATGGATTTTTACCCCCAAAATCGTTAAAAATTCATTTTTTGTTTAAACGAAAAGCACATCCACCCGACGTACGTTGACACTAGCTCTTTCATTGGAACCCTCATGTTCCATTGACTTTTGAAAGTTTACCCACTGTAATTTGGTCAAAATAGGTCGCTAGCTCGCCATTGCCTATATAACACATGTGAAACAAGTCGAACTTTGGACGCAATTTGCCACGCGATTGTAAGGTTATAGGTCAAGCACACGAAGGATAACAAGCATGAATTATCATAGATCAGTTCTGATCGGTTCATTATGTTCATTTCATCCAACCCCCACCGTAATTTTTCCATTTAGTATAGGCAAGCATTTTGCCGAGGTAAGCAAAAACATGAATATTCATGATCGCCATGGACTATTTGATTATTTACAGAGGGGTGCAATTGTGCACCACATCAAACTCCCCTACTTTAAGTTAAGTATTTCATTGTATTATGTAGTTTGGTAGGTTTATTTTAAGAACTGTTTAATTATCAGAAATCAATGATAGTTTAAAGATAAGGAAAATGTTCTTCTATTTTATAGTTAGCAAAGTAATCTCATATACAAAATCACTATCAAGTGTCGTCTAATCCGCCGATTACCGTCTGCTATATACGTTCAAGGCACATTTATCTGTGGACTGTCATGTAGATCGACAGTTTACTCGTCATTGTAGATTTATGATAAGCCATCTGTCATTATTAGTCTTTAATTGTTCACACACATACAATTACCACACACACACGAACACTCTCACTTCCCCTCCCCAACACACCATTTCCACACACCCGGTTCACCCAATGGCATATACACCCTGCAACATAGTGGAACATTCTAGTTTGGTATAGTGCCGGTGAACTAGCTACGTTCGTGCTGACAATGGTCAGCGAGCGAAAATGAGACAACCGGAGCAATATGGTCGGTTTGAAGTCGGTGTGAAGTCGGTGTGGAGTCGGTTTTGCGGTGAGACCGCTACATTTCCTTCTCTCCCTCTCTCTCTCACTCTCTCGACATCTCTGTCAATAGTCCTCACCTAGTTGTGCAGCTATTTCTTCAATCGCTTTTTCAGTATTTGGATCATCAAGACCCCGGTTGTCGATCACAAAAATCTTCTTGGTAATATCAGCTAGCTTTCTGAACATGGTGTGTCCTCCAGCCTTCTCCTGGCCCGCAGCCTGCTGCCATTGTGATCGTCGCAGTTTGCCATGGGCAGCAAACTTGAGTGAATTGATCAGTGACGTCTTTCCGCATCCCGTCCGGCCGAAGAGCCCTAATATTTGAAAAGAAAATGTAGGACGAATGTGAAAATGTTACATCCCAGCCACAAAAGACTGGACTGAACAAGATGTATGCATGTAATACCTCGAACGACCAAGAATCGATCAGTCGGTTTTAAAATCGATTTGGAGTCGGTTTGGCGTGAGTGAGGTATGAATCGGTTGCCCGGTAAAAGGTCACGTACCCGCCACAGAGGGAATCGCTAGGGAAAAGATTACGAAGCAGAATACATATATTAGCCACAAGAAGCTCATTTAATAACTAAATGTACTAAAGTTAGTATACACAATACAAGGAATAATTATACACCCTAGTCTAGTCTCTTTTCCCAAAGAATACAGTTATATGTTTTATTCCCTTTCTTTGATCGAGTTGAATATTGTTAGAATTTCGCCCTTCCTCCGTATATTACCTCGTGGCGATAGAGAATCAGCGTGCCATATAGTTGCAATAATTGCATTTACACTGCAGGCAAAAATCGTCGATTTTTCTCGCATTACTGACGTGTTTTCGACCAAAAACCAAATTTGAAGAAACCACCACTGGAGTAGTTTTTTGAAAAGCCAGCCGGAATGTAACCGATTTTTGCAGGGTAAATCGAAACTTCGGTACCATGCCGGTTTTTCGCCACGTGACTCTGGGCTCGCTTCTACGCAATCGCGCGCAGAGTATTACGAAATGTCGCGCATGCGCAATACTCATTCCAAAAAGCGGTACGAGCAAACAATGATGAGCTTTTCAGAATGGTGTTTCGGATGTGAAAATGGGCCTCATATTGCACGCTGATTTTCCAACGATTGCGTTTCGTAATATAATAATAATAATAATAATAATACATATGATTTATAAGGCGCCAAATCCACTTGATAGTCAAATGCTCAAGGCGCAGCTTGTGCAAAAGATGAAATACATACATGATACATTTATACAAAGTGCGATAGGAAAGGTACAGACATGAAAGGTAATGGTAATCAATTATAAGCTAAATTAAACAGATATATCTTAAGATTGCTTTTTAACACTTCAGCAGAACTGCTATTCTTAACCCATTGAGGGAGAGTATTCCATAACGAAGGCCCAGCATGAGCGAAGGTTCGCTCCCCGGAGGAAAAGCAATATAAAAGTAATCAGTATGCCGCTTGTTGAACTTTTGTTCAAGAAAATGTCGGGATTAAATTAGTTTGATTGTTACCTATATAAAGATTTTCTGGGAATCCAACTCGATCTGCACACGTTGATACCTTGCCTGGCTCATATGTCAGCACTTCTTTCCGTAGAATATCTATCTTTTCTGTCAGTTGGCTGCCGCTTAGGATAGGTTCTGACGACATTTTGGTTAGCTACGGATAGAATTCGTCTTCACTATATGGATGGAAACTGGAAGGATCCAAGTTAAGTTGATGCTGAGAAAATCTGTCTGACTGCCCTCAACCGATGGCGAATTGAAAGCGGGCCCATCATAATTTGCGACATCCCATAATAAAGGAAAGCGTGAAATGTACCAGAGGCGGGGTTAATCTGCATAGTCCAACCCCCGAGTCACGTGACTGAAGTGGGATTCCCAGGTTCATCTGAAACCATATTTTTTTTTCTACGAAGTATCACCAGGGAGAGTATCATTAAGTCATCATCCTCCCCTGATCATTCAAATGTTAGATATAATTGTTAATAAAGGCATAGTCGGTCACGTGACTAAAGTGGGATTCCCAGGTTCATCTGAAACCATTTTTTTTTTCTACGAAGTATCATCAGGGAGAGCGTCATTAAGTCATTTAATGACACTCTTCCTGGTATCATCACCCTCCCCTGATCATTCGAATGTTTGAGAATTTGTTAGGCATAGTCAGTGCTTCTTTGAGTATGAATGTGCTATTATTGACAAGACCACTGACTATGGATATGTCATAGTTTTTTTCAATTTTTGTTAATAGATAAATGGCCAAGCTGTGCAAGAAACATAAAGATTTGTAAAGCCATGACATGTTTTAATTAATTTCCCGTCCTTCATCTCCCATCTGTCATGTTTCTTTCTTTCTTTCTTTTTTTTTCTCTCTCTCTCTCTGTCTCTGTCTCTCCCTCTCTGGCTCGCTCTCTCTCTCTCTCTCTCTCTCTCTCTTTCTCTCTCTCTCTACCATGTTACTACTCTAATTTTCATTATTGATAATTCTGATTTTTTTTTTTTTGCTTGACCATAACTTTCTTATCATGTAACAAGTCTCGGGTGCATGCATCTGATGGGTTTTATATACATGCTCCTCCCTCCCGTTCTCAGTATATTAATTCTAGGTCATTTTGAAACGTCTCCTATGTTTTTTTTTACTAATTTGTTACGTTGATTGTTTCAAATTGATTACTTTGTTCTTTGATCATTATGTAATATATATCTACTGTTAACACGTCTATTTTGAAATTGGAAGAAAGTAACTCTTGGCATTTTCTTTTTAATGAAAGTTAGCGAGAAGTTTAACAAAGAAATGTCCCTACTTTAAAGGCAGTGTCTTACTATGGGGGGCATAAGACTCTCTCGATCAGGAAAAAATGAGTGATAATAGAGAGAGAGAGAGACAGATTAAAGAAAGTGAAAATAATTAGATAGGAAATAATATGACCCCTCACACTCTATATAGTCAGTTGCATTACATCTACTGAATAGTCATGCCCCCTCCCCCCCCCCCCCCCCCCCCCCCCCCAAAAAAAAAAGTTGCCAGTGTCTGGGTTCACGCTTCATTTCTGCAAGGGGGTGATATATATTTTGAAGAGCGACATCATGCATCCTTCTTGCATCCTTCATCACCCAATTTTATCCAACTCAAACCCCCTTCCATAAAATTCCCACTCCCTTCATTACCCCCTCACAACGACACATAATACGCGGCATCTTATGGGGAAAACCCACTTTCGCTTGGCTGTTGAAATCTAGGTTTACGACACACGAGTAGAATGTAAGTAGTACGAGATATCCGGCGGTGATTGTGTCTTAGTTTCTCAATATCCTTTCATTTAATTGCGGTATGTGTTAATATTTTGTCTACGTTTTAATGAATTAAACATAAGCAACTGAAATGTTTTCCACAAAAAAAGTCTTCGTTCAGCGAGTGGGAATTCCTGGCAGCAATGAGACCCAATTCAAAATGCTTCTGATTTAGTGAGAATAATTCTGCATCCTGAATGTAAGCCACATTTTGGCAACCATTTCTAAAAGTTTTCCGTCTAATCAAAAGAGCCATTGTCTCAATGACAAATAAAAACAGGTATTGGGAAATGGGACAACCTTGCAATATTCTTCTTTGCGCGAAATATTGTGTTTGTGGATTACAGCCTGATACTTAAACAAACTTCCAATGAACTGCAGTCAAACTTTTAAAACTGTTTAAACACTACCTTCTAATTTGACTAATCTGTTTCAGATATCAAAAACTATTATAGAGATTTCATGAATTCCAGATTTGATTTATGGGCCAGTATTTCTTTTTTAAAGATAAACTTGAGTTCTGGTCATGCGATTGCATTGTGAAAGAAACAGTGTGGAATCGATCAGAAAAGGTTGATCATCTAGTATATAAGTATTGGTGTGTACTACAAGGTTCTGGAATCATCAAAATGATAGGAAATTTGGCCCAGTCTTGGTAAAATTACAAGCACTGTACACAGAAAGATGTATATGGGACTACATGAACATGTGGCATAAAAATCCGTCCCGATTTGTATGCTGTTACATGCCATATTTAGAATATTAAGGCATTTGAAGAGCCATGCTTTTGGGGGAACATTTTTTTAATCTGATGTATTTCCACACTTGCATAATAACAATGATAACGCTCACAAAATATTGTTCACCTCTTCCCAGAACTCAACCTTCTCTTTAAAAGCGACAATTTTCAAGCTCAACATGTTGACTATTTGATTCCATCTTTGATCAATTCATACTGATACACTTTATCACTTCCATATTATTTTCTTCTTCATTGCATGGGCGTATAGATAACGGGGAGATGGGGTGGGGGTATGCACCCGATAAATTTAGGTTCGGGGATAGGGTGTATAATCACCACCCCCCCCCCCCCCAGGTGCCCATGGAAACAGAGCGAAAATTTAGCTATCATATACGATGCTAGTTACAAGCTAGTCATAAGAGCAATAATAGTTGTAGAGGTAATAATTATAAGAACAACAATAACAATAATGAAAAAGTATGGAAGTTTACTAATCATTCATTTAGTTACAATATTTAAAAACTCACAAATAAGATATCTAAAAAAAATCTAATTTCAAGGATCGTTAATCAAAGTTTCTTCACAATACTGTTATTGCGTGTTTACAGGTACGTTCATATGAATTATAATAATATATGTTGAAACACTTTGTCTCGCTGCACTTCCTTATGGGTGATATGTCTCAATGTTAGTGACCCGCATCCGCTTGTAGGAGAAATACAATCATAATCCAATATAAACATAGTCACCGAAGGTTGGGGCCGGGGTTGCAGGGAAGGAAGCCCCCTCCTCAATAATTCAAGTGGGGGCAAAATCAATGTTGCCCCCCCCCCCAAGAGCCCCCTCACAAGACAGAAAAAGGAGAGTATTGCATGCAATTATCTTGCATTACAACAATGTATAATGAGCATTCTAGCGCACTAAAATGCAAACTTTCAGCACTTCGAAATAATGTTTACAGTGTTTCTTTTAAAAAGAGAGGGCATTTAGTGTTTCCATCCTCCTAGCAAACTTGTGCCATCAATCATTTTGCAGTACAATCATGGAAGAGATTTATAGTGCTCTAAAATACATTACTGGGTTTCAACAGTCATATCTCTAAATATTCTCACTCGGTCGTTAGGCATGGTTTGCATGATGCTCAGCTTGAGAACGACTTTTGAAAGTTTATATATGCTTTATATGAAGGAGTTATGGCATAATCATTCTGTGATGCCACACTAAATTATGTTCCTGATGTAGGCCTATGTAGAACATTTAATAATAATAATAATAATAATAATAATAATAATAATAATAATAATAATAATAATAATAATAGTGATAATAATACATAAGATTTGTGATGCGTCGAATCCACTTGACAATCAAATTAATGCTCAAGGCGCAGTTTGTGCAAACGATGAAATACATGATAAATATATACAAAAGTGCAATCAGAAAGGTACAGACATAAACAAATAATTTCAAGGATCGTTATTCAAAGTTTCATCACAATACTGTTATTGCGTGTTTACAGGTACGTTCATATGAATTATAAAAATATATGTTGAAACACTTAGTCTCGCTGCACTCCCTTATGGGTGATATGTCTCAATGTTAATGACCCGCATTCACTTGTAGGAGTAATACAATCATTACACAATACAAACAACGGCGCCGAAGATGTGAAAACGGCAATTTCCTGGCTTTCCTGTTTATTTGCCACATGTATCATCTTTCAAGGATCTCACTGTGATAACAACTTTAAAGATATTACAACGTTTTGGTATGAGGTCATGAATTTGTTTCAAATGAACATATTCAGTGATCGTTGTCGCAGTTGAAATCGAGTCTTAAGTTATGATTTTGTAAATAATAAACTCTTTATGTTGTATTGCTCCCTCTCAAGGTCAAGATATTAATTAAGCTATAAAACAATGTTTATTGAATAAAATCGACCCTATAGCTATTTCCGTTTGAAAATTATATATCACAACTACATATCGTAGCTACTATTGAACAGCCGTAGGTGCTTTTTTAAATTTTTATATTCAATTTTTCTCAAAAGTAGGAGTGTTTTTAGGAACTAAATTTTCTAGTGCTTATAATACATCCACAGGGGCATCCAAATATATCAAAATTGTAAAGAATCACTATCCACCCAATTTTCAAAATTTCCCAAAACTTTGTATTACCTGTAACGGTTCTCTTCTTCTGATCGAACCCATGCCTTACAGAACCATCCCCAGAGTACCAACCGACAGCCCTGTGCACCGATTCACACGGCCAGTGGACTCCTCCCCCATCCCCGTTCACCACGGTATCCCCTCCAGACACACATCCGACAACATGTCAACAATATTGTGACAGTTACACGACCTTATTTCCGATGAATCATCTTTGAACTTAAACCTTGTGACGTGTTTAGGTTAATAAAAGAGAAGAGAAACATTGCTTTAAATTTAACTGCGTTTTCCTGTGTTTATGATCAGAGTAGAATATACTTTTATCGCATATATGTAGAATACTTTTACACATACTTATAGTTATAGATCAATCTATCATGTTATGGTTGGAGAGGGTTATTGGAAATGCCCTTTTAAGGAGACATTTGTTTTAGAAGTTTAAGAAGTTGTGATAACTCTGCAAAAATGTGAAGTTACTATTCGTATGAAGGGTTTTTGGCTGGCAGGATTTGTATAAATATTTGCTTGATTTCATTTTACCATCTATACCGTCTAGTACGAGTTTATTCAAAATACCTCAAGTTAAAGGCATATTAGTTGTGTTTGTAATACAAAGATACCTGCACTTAATGTATACGGCGTGCATCTTTTTACAGATGTGTATGGAGTGATGTGTTTACCATGTGTTACGATAAGTTCACATTGAATACATTTTGGAAAACAAGTTTCAAGATACACCCACTGTGCTTTATTCTTGCAAAGGAATGATCATTTAGTTTTAAAGATAGGAAAGTATTTGGAGAAGGGACTGAGCGAGAATAGAGAAGTAGACAGCATTATGAAAGAGAGACATAGAGATAAGGAGAGAGATCGAGAAAGAGACAGGGAGATAGAGAGAAAGAAAGATAGGTAGGGAGGGAGAGAAAGTTCCAGACAAAGAGATACAAACAGACAGAAAGTAGAGAGACAGAGGTAACAAGTACATAAAGAAAGGTCTACTCGTGTATTGGGCATATTATCAGCGCATGTATATATTTTTTGTATTCCTTTATTAGTTCATTAGTTTATTTCATAATCCTGTGATTAGATGTACTGCTGGTAATGTGCCCGTTACAAGTGTACATTTTTATCATTGTCAACTTCATTATCATCATCTCTATCATCATCATCATTATATTATTATTATTAAAATTATTGTCATTACATTTGTTATTATTATTATTTCTATTTTCATTATATTCATCATCATCATCATCATCATCACCACCATTATCATCATTATCATCATCATCATTATCATTATCATTATTATCATCCTCCTAATCATCATCATTATTATCATCGTCATCATCATCATCATCATAATCATTATCATAATCATCATCATCTTCTTCATCCTTCTCATTATGGAAACTTCTGAGCAGCTTATTATCAATACTGTTCCATTTCCTTCTTCTTCCAAATAATGCAAACACTGTCAGTCAGGGTATTACAACTTAATACACAAACAACAAATATTGTTCTTTATAGATCTGAGTGAACATTTATATTTTTTATTTTTACACCATTTTATCATTTCATTACGATATTATGTATTCAGGTGTGCAAACTTTTTTTTTTTTTTCATCGTAGCAAATGAGTAATGCGAAATGTATATACAAAACAAACAAATTTACAAAAAAGTTCGTGAAGAAGCTCGACATTTTTTCTTTGACGGTGCATACAGATAATATAATACTTATTCATTTATATTTTTATTTAATTACTTATTTTATTATGATAATTTGTGAATGGCAGCCAATGGCTGAATTGCTCGCAATTTAAAAAACACATTTGAAAACTAGTAAGGATACATCCACTATAAGATATGATTATATGAAACACGAGTCTAATAGACGATAAACATATATACAAATTGAGAAATCCATGGAGGCTAATCATCGTGTCAAATATTGATATCAAATACATGTGTAAGAAGTACAATCAAGATATAATTATAAACAATGTGTTTATTCGCAGCCCATTTTTACTGGATACTTGGAGCAATTGGAGTCGACCTGGTCGCACTTTCCCCCACCTCCCCCGTAAAGACTAGTTTGCACGCAGAAACCCTTGTCAGTCGTTATGCATATCAAAAATTGTCTGCATTATGAAACTACCGTAGGCTCTGTCTTTTAGTCAGAAATTGACATAGCTAGGCTCTACCCAAGGCTTTATGATGTTTGGATAAAGTGTCAATTTAATTAAAGTCTGTGCCTGGAGACTGGTTCTAGTCATTAAGCACAAAACATGATATTCTATACACAAGTTGTGATTCATTTGGTCGATTCGGCGCCATATAGAAAAGTATGTTTTCGACACGGGCTCTAAAGAAGGATAACTTAGTACTTGCTGCATATTAGATTGTGAGTTTTTGGCACGTAATCATGTGCCTTGCGTGTTAAAAGATCCGTCATGCTGACAGCTACAAAGTTAAACAAGATACTTAGAAGTTTTTAACTTGATTAAAGTTGGGTGCCATCTGTGACGAAATCCTGTCAGTGGTTCCCATCTTGATTTAGGGCCATGTCTCTTTTGCATTGAGATAAGACCGGTTATTCCTGCAGCATGCTCTAGGCATTTCGGTATGGATGCAACAAATTGCCTCATCATAAAAATAACTACAATATGTTTTATTGATTCAAGTGACTGATCTGTTTGAAAACCAGAATAATTGCATAAATTTGTTGATATATATTTGTTTTAAAATAGAATTAAGTATCTTCTAGTATGAACAAGTCAGATAATTGTAGAATGGTTGTGTGTACGTTGAAACGTAATTATGTCGATTGTACACGAGACGTCGCATGGTTTGATCGCGTTATTGGTTGCCCCTAATGAAGGATGTGAAGCCAGTTATTAATTACAACAGTGGGTGCACTGTTTATCGAATTTGCAATAAACTTTTACAATATTTCCCTCACATTCATGGCGTATCATGGACTGTGCCAATCTTTGACACAGTTCTACGTCGGGCTAATAACATCTCCCTCACAACGGGCTTTAGATTCATTACATTATTTCACAACTACTGTCGTCTTTCTTATTAGCTTCCATGATTCGGCGAATCTCCGACTGCTTTTCCCTCTCTACCCTTTCAATGGCGTCTTGATAGCGTCGATTCCTCTCTTGCTCCTGTCTTTCTCTCTCCTGCTTCTCAGCCCGTTCCCGTTCCCTCTCAATCGCACGCCTTTGGTCCTCCAACTCCCTTCTCATCTGATTCTCCCTCTCGATGCGCTCCTTCTCAGCCATTTGTCGACAGGCTTCTGCTATTCGCTCCTCCTCTTGCTTACGTCTCTTCTCTTCCCGCCTCTTCTCAATCTCCTTCTTGCGCTGTTGCTCCTTGCGCTGGTAATACTTGAAGATGAGAGTCTCATCTCCATCCGTCATGCACCGCTCCAGGAGAGAGAGCAGACTGTGCTGGTAGGGCTCCTCCAGCAATTTCTTCTCAGTGGTCAGGTTTGCCACTTCGAAAATATCGCTTACTCCGGAGACTCGCAGGACGGTCTTGAGGTCCTCCACGTGGTTCTTTTCTGCGACATCAACATGAGTTATGATAGCCACCGGGTAGCGTCCTAGATTGCCAAAGGGAGTGGATCAATATACCAGAGAACAAATACCAAAATGTGAACACATCCTAGGTAATATCACAAACTTGACAAAATGCATTAAATCAATTAATATGGCATCACGAAAATGTTACTTCGATCCGGTATCGGTTTTGTTATTCATTCACTGATTATTGGAACTATTATTGGAACTTGATCGGTATGCAAAAGAAGCATTTTGTCAATTTTTTTTTTATAGAAACGCTTTGCAACCAAAGCCTCATTCATAATTTTAAGGTGGTTGGGGAAGGGGGGGCAGCGGCTTATCCAGATTCTTCTCAGAGCAGAGGGAGGGAGCGTACATCGGCTTCATTAAACGCTTGTAAGGTTTAAACCAAATTATTTATTTAAATTAATCTCTACAATGGTCAACACAATAAGTAGCACACAATATTATTTAGGTTGATTTCTATAAGGAACTTTTTGGTCGTTCACCATCTGCTCCACACGTAACGTTCTTCGTTTTCTCTCCATATTTCGTAACATTCACATACACACACACACACACACGCACATACGCACCCAAACACGCAATGGAATGAAGAACAAGTACAAATGGAGGATAAAATCTTACCCTGATGGCTATGTAAAAAGTCAATGACCTCAGCTAGTCCAGTAATATTAGTATCTATGTCATGGCGGGCGCTGTGGAAGGTATCAAGAGAGAAAGATTACGACATCTGATTTGTGAGAAGTAGGAACAAAAATGGTAAAGGGTAGGATAAAGAAGAAGGACTGCAGGGCCCTCAGGGAGAACAGTATAGATACTGATGAGGATACGCTGGGAAAACAAGACGTATTATTATTATTATAAGGACGAATATTGGTGTGTTTTTTTTATTATAATGTTTTTAGAGATAGACATAACACCTAACATAAAATAATATGGCATTGATACTATATCATTCTATTTTGTATTAAATCCTTATTTTTGCATTGTCTTTCTCATAGTGCTACAGTTGGTTCTAGGACACTTACCCCCTGGACATCCACCTCGGATAACCAAACCCAGTCAACTACCCCCCGGGACAACTACCCCCAGACAGCAACCCCCTACGACAAACATCCTTTAGGACACCTACCCCCCGGACAACAATCCTAGGGGGTAGTTGTCCTAGGGGTATTTGTCCGGGGGTAGTTGTCCTGAGGGGTAGTCGTCCTGAGGGGTAGTCGTCCTAGAGGGTGTTTGCCCTAGGGGGTAGTTGTCTTAGGGGCAGGCCCGTAGCCACGGGGGGGGGGGGCACGGGGGCATGTGCCCCCCCCCAAAAAAAAAAAAAAAAAAAAAAAAATCCAAGATCGGTTGAACTTTTTTAGACCCCTCCCCAGGACGTCGATCAATTACATAGCTGCATGCACACGATGCACCATTAATTGTGTGACATAGGACTGCGTCAGCAACTGGCGCTGTCTATGACCATAATACGGACTATAGATTTGCACGACGAGAACGTGGACTGCGACAGCGACGTGAGACATCCATTAAAGGCAATGTGACGTCCTTTTAAGTCACATTGTCTTAAAAGGGTGTCACACGAGCAGTCCACGTTCTCGTCGTGCAAATCTGAAAGTCCCTACAAGTGTTCGTTTCCTAAACTCGACGGAAGAGTTGTATCGTTCGTAAAGTAACCAAATTGAATGCATAAGTCTTTGTGAAGTGCCTCGACAATACAAATTATTTCATTCACCTGATAAGAATAATAATATTTTAATAGGCAGAATCCGAATTGCATACATTATTGATCTCGGTTGAGTGAATTCTCCCGTCCCCTTTGCCTTCCGTCGCGTTGCTAAAGCACCCTTGTGACTCTCCGTGCACAACGGGCTTAAGATTAAACCTTTTGGCGCGTGTTTGCTCACCTAAAAACAAAGATAGCGCAGCCAATTGGATGTCCCGTTTTGAGATCAAGTCCGCTTAGATCCAGGTCTCCATCCTCTGTATCATCGGTATGATTCCCATCACTAGCTCCCTGCCACTCGACACTCTCAGAGTAACCTCGGTCTCCATCTGAATAGAGGAAGCATAGGTTGTCATCGCATAATTAATGAGGGGAAAGGGAGGGGAGGAGAGGGGAGGGCGGGGAAAGCTAAGGGAAGCAATCAATGATCAGAAGTCACCCCATAAAAAGGGCTGATTGCCTCATTCACCTGCCCCGCCGTGATTCTCTTTGAAAAAGAAACTGGGAAGATTCGATCGATGCGCATTAATATACGAACATAAAATGAAGACATCATAATTATTAATGAAGGTTTGGTTTGAGGAAATTTTACCTCACAGACCGAAAAAATAAATAAATGATATAACCTTGAATGGTCAAGAACTGGTTGATTTGGAGTCGATGTAGCCTCTTGTCGATGGCCCTGGCGCTGTTGAAACTCGGCGCTTGCGCCGAGTATCAGGCTCGCTTCGCTCGCCAGAATGTGCGGACTCGAACAGCGCCAGGGCCATCGACACGAGGCTAGAGTCGATGCAGAGAGAGAGTCGTCCTTACCCAATTGTAAGGCTAGTTCAGTAATCGCCTTTTCTGTATTTGGTTCATCAAGACCTCGGTTGTCAATCACAAAAATCTTCTTGGTAATATCAGCTAGCTTTCTGAACATGGTGTGTCCTCCAGCCTTCTCCTGGCCAGCAGCCTGCTGCCATTGTGATCGTCGGAGTTTGCCATGGGCAGCAAACTTGAGTGAATTGATCAGTGACGTCTTTCCGCATCCTGTCCGGCCAAAGAGCCCTAATATTTGAAAAGAAAGTGTACGGACGAATGTCAAATTTTTACAGCCCAGTCACAAACAAGGATACCAAACAAGACTCAAGAAAATAAAAATTACATGTAGATTACCTTTGACGACCGAGAGTTGATCGGCCGGTCTAAAATCGGTTTGGAGTCGGTACGGCAAAGTGGGTAAGGTTAGTCCGTTTTATATATATATATATGTTATGATGCAATCACCAATGATCTATGTCCTCCTTCCTCATGCGCGACCCCTGAAAATACACTCGTCCTATGCAAGGGTGCGATCGAGAATAAAAGACGAGGACTGTCTACTGTTTAGCGTTGAGGATGTGTTATTTGCTCAGCTGAATCGGGCGCGCGACACGGAAACAATCCAGGCAGTTGACTAGATTAAAGGGGCTATATTATGATGAGACTACGCAGTGGCGGATCCAGGGGGGGGGGGGGGGCTACATTGGCTACATTCTTAAACCCATTTAATAAAGGCTAATAAATCAGCATCCCCCTCCCAGCCCCGCGTAAATACGCGCCTGATTTGCTACGGTAGATCTGTATGCCACTAGTTCAAGTAAAATTTCGATATTAAATTTGTTATTGTTACCTATATACAGTTGTTCCGGAAATTCTATTTTATCTGCACATGTTGATACATTGCCTGGTTTGTACGTCAGCACTTCTTCCCGTAGCTCAGTTATCTCTTCTGTCAGATCGCTGCCGCTAAGGATAGGTTCTGCGGACATTTTAATTAGCTACGGATAGAACTAGGCTTCACTATACGGATGGAAACTGGAAGGATCCAAGTTTAGTTGATGCTGAGAAAGTCTGTTTGATTGCCCTCAACCGATGGCGAATTGAAAGCAAATGTCATGATTTCATATTGAGGGCTAAGCATTAGATGAAATTTGCGACATCCAAGAAGAAAAGCGTGCAATGCACTAAACAAACTGCAGCCCAGAGGCGGGGTTAATCTGCATAGTCCAACCCCCTAGTCACGTGACCGAGATGGGATTCCCAGGTTCACCTGAAGCCATATTTTTTCTACGAAGTATCATCAGTCCTCCCCTGATCATTCAAATGTTGGATAATTTGTTAGGCATAGTCACTCATGTGACTGAAGTGGGAATTCCAAGGTTCATCATCATGAAGACAGTTTTTTTTTGTTGGTTTAACGAGGTATCATCATCTTCCCCTGAAAATTCAAATGTTGGAGAAGTTTTGAGACATAGTCAGTATAAAGATGAAGGTGGTCGTTATTCCATTCTGCTTGCACATTTTACAAAACCCATGTGCCATTATTGACAAGACCACGGATATGTCAGTTTTCTACATTTTTTTGTTAATATAGGATTTCCCGGCCAAATTCGCGTGTTTGTCATTCGAATTCATTTACTTTGCATTTAAGTTAGCGCAGATCGGCTTTGCCATGCCAATTATCATTCAATTTCCCAGTTTTTGTATTTAATTTAGAATTTTGGTCGAAGGGTTTCATAGATCTGTCATTCAATTTAGAAACTGCTCAACTAGCATTCAAATTAATATTCACTTGTCGAAGCGTAATTTTTATCATTCAAATTAACACCTGTCATTCGTATTCGAAATATTTTTATTCAAGTTAGGAATGTTAGGGGGAAGAATTGCAACAAACTTTTACAATTTTTAAATAATGCAGTTAAAATGCATGATTTGCTATTGGGGTCTAAGCTGATATTCCATTTATTTATTTTCAGGACAATGCAGATGGGTGTAGTCAGACATAAAGTAAAGAAGGGGCGAAATCAAGGGATAAATATTTTTATTCAAGTTAGGAATGTTAGGGGGAAGAATTGCAACAAACTTTTACAATTTTTAAATAATGCAGTTAAAATGCATGATTTGCTATTGGGGTCTAAGCTGTTATTCCATTTATTTATTTTCAGGACAATGCAGATGGGTGTAGTCAGACATAAAGTAAAGAAGGGGCGAAATCAAGGGATATGGCATTTCTGCACGGACATGTTCATATACATGTACCCGGGAAAGGTGGGGGTACCCTCAATCGCCCCTTTTTACTACAGACTCGGAATTGTACAAAAGTAATTCACATCGTCTCTTAAACCCAGCACACCCCTCTGCTTTTCTTAAAGAGTTTCATAATTTACTTGCCCGCCGGCAGATCGATGGATAAAGACATGGCTAAATAATGAATCATGTTCAAATTGTTGACTCTAGTACCTACCCCAGTCACAATATTGTACCCTTCTTCCATAATGAAATTATGATGAAATTATGATAAATTTATGATGAAACATAAGAGAAACAACTTCCTTACATGAACATTTACAAATATACTGAGACCATCAGGTCCGTAGATCCAAGTCGTTTTTTCCTCTTAACAATCAAACTTAAATGCTAATGAACATCAGATAAATCTAATAAGTAGAGGGGATAAATGCAAGAAAATAAAATATGATGAAAAAAATTAATACATATGACAAAACAATCTTGAAAAAAAAGAATGAGCTATAAAAGGTGTGTAATAAACGAGAAATGTATATTGACCATCAATTTAAGTGCACAAAGTGCTAATTTGAATGCTACAAATGAAATAGAATGCTAAAAGTACACCGTCGTGTTGTCAGAAAATCATGTTGCGCCAAATCGAATGACCAAATAGCGAAAGAAGCACTTTGTTCATTAATTTGAATGAAACATACGTAGATTCTAACGAAAATTCCATAGATTTGAAAACTAGAAAAGGAAATATGAACCCGAGATATACCTGACTGCACTAAAACCGTCGAATTTGAACGCAAGACAAATTAATTTGAATGACAAACTCGCGAATTTGGCCGGGAAATCCTATATATTAATAAATGGCCAATACTATGTGCATCAAGTAAGAGGATGTGTAAAGCCATGAAAATGTTTCAATTAATTTCCCGTCTTTCATCTTCCATTTCTCATGTTTTTTTGTTTTTTTTTCTCTCTCCCTCCCGTATCCTCCCTCTCTCTCTCTCTCTCTCTCTCTTTCTCTATATCTCTCTATTTTTCCCCCTTTCCCCTCTCGTTTACTCTCTCTTCCACTCTATCTTTTTCCCATACTCAAGCCATTGCTTATAATTGATTCCAATATTATGGTTCTTAGAAATACCGTGTTACAATTATATAACTATTTTATATAGGCGTATAGCGCGAACCCAGACACTGGCAACTTGGGCGGGGCAGGCCTACTCAGTAGATGTAATGCAAGTGATTATACTACGGGAGGGGTCACATCATTTTACTACTCTTATTTGCATTATTGATCAATCTGATTTTAATTTTGTTTGACCGTAACGTCTCGGGTGCATGCATCTCATTAGAGCTTTTCTGCATCCCCTCCCCCCCCCCCCCCCGTTCTCAATGTATAAATTAATTTTTTGGATTACTTTGTACTTTGTTGCTTATGGAATCTACATCTTCTGTTAACACGATTATTTTGAAACGGAAAAATAAGAAGTTCAATAAATCAAAATGTAACTCATTCAAATATCATTGCTTTCGTTAGTTTCTGCGAAACTCTTGGCAATCGTTAACAAAAAGTAAGTTTAACAAGAAGTTTAACAACAAATTGTCCCCACTTTAGAGGCAGTGGCTTACTATGGCGGGGGGGGGGGGGCATGTGAACCTCTCAATCGAATATGGTCCATTAAAGGAGGAAAATGTGTGGGAGGGAGAGACAGAGAGAGACAGAGAGAGAGAGAGACAAAGAGAGAGAGACAGAGAGAGACAGAGAGAGACAGACAGACAGACATACAGATGAAATAAAGGGAAAATAACTAGAAAAGAAAATGATATGACCCCTCCCGTAGTATAATCCCTTGCATTACATCTACTGAGTAGGCCTGCCCCGCCCAAGTTGCCAGTGTCTGGGTTCGCGATATACGCCTCTGTAAAGCTAAAGGGATGATACTATTTTGAAGAGCAACATGGATTGCATCTGCAGTCTCTCATCACCCAATCATATCCAACTCAAACCCCTTCCATAAAATTCCAACTCCCTTAATTACTCCCTCACAACGATACATCTACTAACGCGGCATCTTATGGGGAAAACCCACTTTCGTTTGATTGTTGCAATCCAGTCTTACGACACATGAGTAGAATGTAAGTTAATACGAGATATCCGGCGGTGGTGACTTAGGTTCTCAATTTCCTTTAGTTGAATTGCAGTATGTCTTTTTTTCTTCTTCTATGTTTTATAGAAATAAACATAAAGAACTGAAACTTCTAATTAGACAAATCTGTTTTCGATATCAAACACTATTATAGAGATGTCATACATTTAAAATTTGATTTATGGGCAAGTATCCTATTTCACAAGCACTCACTTAGTGTCGCTGCAATTCCTTATGGAAGATATGTCTTTAAGTTGGGGCAAAATCAATTTTGCCCCCGAAGGGCCCCCTCACAAGAAGAAAAAAAAGAGACTTTTGCATGTAATTATTTTGCATTACAACAATGTATGATGATCATTCTAGTGCACTAAAATGCAAATTGTCAGCACTTCAAAACAAAAATAAATTATCGCTCGGTAGCTACGCTCCCTCACAAACTAATGCATACAGTGTTTGTTTTTTTTAAAGAGAGGGCAATTAGTGTTCCGTCCTTCTAGCAAAACAAAGAATGATGTGCAATCAATCCTTTTGCAGAAAAACCATTGAAAAGATTTAATGTGCTCTAGAATAATGAACAGGGTTTCAACATTCATATCTCTAAATATTATCACTCGGCCGCTAATCTCACTCGTATGTTTAAAAAATCATTATTTTGTAAGACTTTACAGTAGAAAGCCAGCCTACGCCAATGCACTGGGATTAAGAGGTAGGTAGGTAAAAGGGAAGGAGGCAACTCATTATAGACAAGACTAGTGTTAATATCAAGGTTCAAACTCGTCCGAAGCGTGCAAAACAATTGGGACCTGTCCACGCCACTGCTACAGTGGCTATCAAGAGGTTATTTCTTTATTTAATTTACTCTAAAATAGAAAATGAAGCATTGAACTTTTCCATCAATAATTGATTAAAATCATTGGATTATTGCGTCCGTGAAACAATCTCACTTTACCTAATATGGCGTCCCTGTCTAATCTGTTATTATATTTTGGTTTTCCCCGATAGGTATTAGCATGACGCTCTACTGACAAACTTCCCCGCTATGTACGACTGATGACATCAATAATATTCTCATGAAATCGGCGGTGGGGTAGTTTTGGGGGAGACAGAGTGATGATGATGCAAAATACAGTTTAGACCCCCCAACGGCCCTCCCAAACACCACCACCACTAGTGTGCTTAATGATGTTAACTACAAGACTACAGTAGGCTCTGTACTTTAGCCTGAGACATCTAGGCTGTGATGAACAGGATGAAGTATTGAGGAATTCATCACAATACCGTTTGTTGCGTGTTTACAGGTACGTTCATATGAATTATGGAAACATGTGTACACACTTGGTGTCGCTGCAATCCCTTATGGAAGCTATGTCTCCATCTTAAGTCACCCGCATGCACTTGTAGGAGAAATACAATCATAATCCGATACTAATATAGTAACCGAAGGCGGTTGGGGGTGGGAAAGGATGCCCCCCTCCCTCAAAAATTCAATTGGTGACAAAATCAATTTGGCTTCCAAAGAGCCCCCCTCACAACAAAAATGGAAGGTATTGTATTAATTATTTTGTATTACAACAATGTTTAATGAGCATTCTAGTGCACTAAAATGCAAACTTTTAGCACTTTAAACCCCAAGTCCACTCCAAAAATAACTCACTTTCAATAGAAGCACAACAATCAGACTAATCAATCAAAAAAAGTTGTAGTAAAATCGGATAACTAATAAGAAAGTTATGAATTTGTAATGACATGAAAAATTTTGAAAATCAATAGACAA